ATTAGTTTACTTGGATGGGACCAACAATTCAAGTTCAACAGGTGCATGACCTCTGGGATAAATAACATAAGTTTTGAATCTAGACAAAAACAGCTAAGCAAAATGAAAATACTAACATGTAAAAATGAAAAGAAAGCACATGATAATTTCTGCAATAACAAACTAGAAACACAAACAAATCTAAATAAAACAAAGTCAGCTAACCTACCCACTAACACTTGTTTCATCGACTGCAAATGTTTTCATTGCCCCCTGCATCCGGTCAAAGCTTGTACTCTTCCAGACAAAATCAACACTAAATCCATGGTTCACATCAACAGGCACTCCCTGCACCACAATAACAATAAGCACCACTCTTTAAGTGCCTCCCAAAAGCCAAAATCAACCAAAAGAACAAAAAAATATCATAACTACCTGACTGGCACGGAGCTCAAGGGCAACCTCCTCCTGTGCCGTTAGCTTGATCTGAAACAGAAAGATATTTTATAAGTACGTTCCCAGAAGTGCACCAAATACATAAACCTTACCAACGAATGCAAACAAAAATTACAGGCATGCATCAAAACATAATTAAATGGGCAAGTTCATAAAGGAGCATACCACATGCCCAACAGCCTGCCATGCTGGGTGGGCAGCATCTCCTGAATACCGCAGTCGCAACTCATCACCAGGTACCAGACGCAGCTCATTGTCTTCCTATAGCACCACAAATCAGGTTTAACATTTATTGACTTATAAATTAAAAGAGACATTGTCATACAGAGGGAAAGGGGGGGTGTTATAAACCACGAACATAATTATGTAATGGAATAAATTCATAGTAAATGATTAATAAAACTACTACAGTAAAGCACCTTTGGAAAGACAAAATATGCAATACGTTTCTTGTTTAACCCAATATCCCATCGAACTGTGACATTGTCCTTGCTTTGAGATTCTTTCATCATCTGCCAAAAACAAAATTTTGAATGTTAAACCTATATTCTTTCATTACATTTTAAAGAAATGAAAGAATATTGCATAAACAATTAATTTGAGGGTGGTTGGGGGAGGAGTGCGAACATGATGATACATACTTTATCATAGTCAGCTTCAAGCTTAATAAGTGGCGCAAAAACATTTTGATACTGCAAGGGAAAGCATCAACTTAATTAGTTACCAACATGTTATAAGACGTAACTTCTTGTCTTCTCAAAATAATAAAGCAAAGCAAAATAGTGCAATTATTGCAAAAGTGGGCACCTGATAAGCATCTTCATACTTCAAGGCCACAGGCTGAGGTTCATCATCTACACCAGGCTTCTCAAGATCTTCAAGGGAGGCATCAGGATTTGTCTTCCAAAGCTCTTCTACCTTGTTTATTTGTTGAGCACTTATCTGCCGTGCCCTTAACTGTTCTTGTTCAGATGGGATCTGTGAAAGTGAAATGTATTAGAAAGTCCTCAAATGAATAAGTCCTTCGTGTGATTAAAGAAACACCAACCTTAACCAGCCACTGCAAAAAGCACCTATCATCAATAAGGGGACACCACTGACTCAAGTCCCAATTCATGTCTTTCAAAGCATTAACATTCAAACAAGGTTCCCTACAAAGAAGAACAACAACACTCTCTGTCTTAGCAGATATAAAACCAAGAAGGAAAACATTTCTGCATCCACAGTTGTAGCATTCAAGAATTGTTTCTCCCAAAGGACTATCCTTATGAAGGCAGACTTCCTTGTGTTTAGCTCGTACCTAAAAAGGAACAAAAAATCAAACTCAGTAATCAAGCATCCAGTGACTATCCCCCAACTGGATATTCTAGGAAACTTGTTAATACTCATGCAATTAATCTCAGTTACTGAATGATAAACATACAAATTTACTAAAAGCAACTGAAATGCAATAGTGGTTTGAGCATACTAACAGATGTGCAACAAACTACGGCAAGCACACAACTAAACGAAACTTTTTCAAATAGAATTAGACCCTACAGCTATGTGAAAGAACTTTCCTAGGCAAGCTTGAGTAACAAGGTACATTTTGAAAACTTACTCAGTCACAAACATCCAATTTAGTCCCAATTATATTAAGCCCAAGTTCCCACAGCATCATCCCTAGACTAAAGCAAGCAGCAAACATATTTTTTTGTTCACGTGAAGAAAAAATGTAAACTATTACAATGATGTTTCTGTTGTCAGGTCTTCTGGGTTAATGAAAGCAATATATATTGGATGAGAAAAGAGAAAACGAACAAAAGGTGTCATATTGCAAAACCAATACAGGAAACAAACCTTCCATGACCATGAAAGGCAGATACCAAGCTACAGGAAGATATGATGAAAGCATAAGAAAAGCATGGGTGTGCTTAACAGTGGCAAAAATCAACACTGGTACTGCACATATGTTAATAAATCAAACAAAACTGATTCCCAGAGAAAAAAAATGGTCATCATGTTATAATTCCACCAAAAAACCCTGTCTCACGGTATCTAGAATGAAGGCTGACTTCTGATTGCCTTCTAACATCCCTTCCTTTCAACAACTATCAACCCAAGTCCCACAGATTCATACACTACCATATTCAAATATACAAATCCGTCTGAAGATATTTAGAGGAATATCTGGCTTCTGATTGCCTTCTAATAAAAACCCTTTATTCAAGAAAAAAGGGTTTCTCTAAGTATCAGCATTGGGTGTAACCTCCAAAGAAATGAAGGACAAAAATTGCCTTCAATTAAAACAAACAAAACTCTCTCATTTTAATCTCAGAATAGCCTATAAGAGAGAAGGGAGGCACTAAATGATGCCATAATTTCATGCACTCCTTCCACATAACTGAAACATATCTGATCAACAAGCTCAAATTTCATTATTGAGTCAATTTCTAGCAGAAATACCTAGTTTAAACCTTCAAAACAGCACCTATGAACTTGGTTGCAAATTCTAAACGTCTCAACAGTATCATGAACAATCATATGAATTATCTCCTTTTTCAATCTACATACACGTATATTAACCTCAACAAAATCCCAAAGTCAACACCCCAAAATAAAAGGCACCATTCCTACTTAGTGCATTATCTCCCTAATACATGCCTTCAATATTTCAACCTAAATCCCAAACAAACAAATCTACGTCAATCTAGTGTCCATAAAAAATAATCAGGATATTTAAAAATAATAACAATAATAATAAAAGAAGAAAACTCACAAGATGATTCACAATATGCGAGCCTGATGTATTCCCTCTTGAATTACAAAACCACTTCCTACACGAGGGAACGTTACAGCGAACCACGCAAGCTGGGTTCGAAACCCCGCAATACCTACAAGCATGCTCGGCGAAATCACCTTTTCCGTACTCATAACCGCCATCCTCTTCCCCAACCGTCTCCTCAAAATTCAATCCACTAATCCCCGTCGCTAACGCATCAACCACGGCCCCACTATTGCCAATACTATTGCTAGTGCCGTTGTTATTGCTCGTTGCGCCACGGCCAGCGCCTTTGGAAGCGCTAGACGGTGAAGAGGAGGCAGCAGTGTCCGAGTGGTGGTCGGAGCCTGAGCGATCGGCGGCGGTGGCGTCGGAGGGTGTGGGCCAAGAACGAATCGTGTCGCGGAAGTCCGTGTATTCGAAATCGGACTCGCCTTGGGTGTTGAATTCAAGAAAGGTGTAAGCGTCGGTAGCCGGGTCGGGTTGCGAGGCCGTCTCGAATTGAGAATCCATGGAAGGAAAATTTCTCTGCCGAATCGTTATTCCAAGGATTAGGGTTAGGGTTTTTCGTGTTGTTTTCTGAGTTAGGGTTAGGGTTTGGTAAAGAAAAAATAGAAAAATAGAACTGAGAGAGAGCGCGGGGTGGAGAGAGAGAGAGAGAGAGAGAGAAAGAGATAGAAAGGTGAAATTTGTGTTAGAATTTGCTCGAGAGAGTGTGTATAAGCGCCGTGGAAGCGAAAATGGAGCGCGTGGGAGAAAACGCTGATGTAAAGGAGAACATTCTGCACGTACTGATAACGCGCATTTCTATTGGGTAGGACGAGAGAAAACACGTGACTGGTGAAATAGACACGTGAGAGAGGTCTTTTCCGGCCTTTCTGACCTTTATGCGAGTGTGACGCGTGTGATTAAGGTTATATAAGGATTTTTTTTTTCTTTATTTTTTTGGGTTTCCTACGTTAATTTATTTGTTAAAAATTTAATTTGGCGTTTTAACTGCACTCGCTTGGAAATTAAGCTAAATTTCTGCATGTAATATTACTGTTTATATGTGATTATCATCAGTGACAAAATATAGTAAGTTTGTTTTAAATTTTTAACATTGAAAGCTATTCTTGTTTTCACGAGGTGGTAGCATCATCCTGTCAATTTTGCAGTTAATTAATCTTTTTATTTATCATAATTTTTATTGGTTTAATCTGCTAGGAAAAGCTTTAGTGAAATTTTTCATGAACCTGATGATTTTTTCAATAAAATTAAAATTGTATTAGTCCGTAAAACTTATCAAATTAATACATTGTGAATTAATATTTCAACTCATTTAAATAAAAATCCAATTAAATGATAAGATAACATTATATATTGTTGATATTCTTATTGAAGCATATCACTTCATCAAATTCTTTATTTTTTCTGACTTATGAAAATAGTTCCACAAGTTTCATTTCACCATCTATTAGATACATTTAACGATTTTTTAGACACAATTTATTATAATCTATTAGATAGATTTAATAATTTTCAAAATGATAATTTTTTTTGTATGAAAATTTATATTTTGAATAAATTAAATCTGCATTATTGACACGATACAAAACTAATTAAATTTAAATTTAAATAAAATTTTTACTTTTGTAAACATTTTGATATATTTAAAATATGATAATTTTATATTTTAAAATTTGCTGAAGACACTTTTAGTTTATTTAATTAATCGTATGAAATGGACGAGAAAATTGACCGATAAATATAGTAAAAGTAATACAAATCAGTCACAATTTACCACAAAGTCGATGGAAGGAAAAAGATCAGTATTTCTCCAAACTTGGATAACAGCAAACAATTTAACAAAAAAACATGTATTAATCCCTTTAACGTGTCTCGTCGTCATACGGCAGGGAAGGTTCCAACCACTCTGGCTTCGTCCCATCTTTCAATTTACACATAAAAATACAAAATTAAATTCAAAATCTCAGATTAAGGAAAGAAAAAATTGAATTCTTGCTTATCCATTCATCAGGACATAGAGACCGGTAATGCCTTGCAAAATTGTCACATTGCGGGGCATTCCTGCCCTTTTCTTTAGTGCACCTTTTTTGACAATGATGGTAACAAAAAACCTAGCAAATTTAATAATGCTAAACTCTAATTAATTGAAAATAGCTAGTAAAATTATTGCAAACTTTAATTTAACTTGTAATTAAATAGCAAATACATACTTACTTATGATATTCAACATAAGACTGGTAACAATGGCGGGCTTGTGGTGATACGTCCGACTCGGTTTCCATCCGTGCTTATTAGCAACACAATCAATTTAGCTAAATGCAAAAGGAAAACACACAAAATTACTGCCATGATTCAAGGACTAAGAGAGCATCATATGGTTAGAGAATGAACCTTGCCGGCGATTTCTTGGTTTGCTATTTTTTGAGGAGATGGTGGGGAGGTGGATTGAGGGCTAGGAGGCGGCAAAACAGTGCCGGGTTCACGAGCTGGCATAGGAGCTTGCCT